GCATCTAAGGCCTTGGGAGGTTTAATTAAAAATACAGCAGGAAAAAAGAAAACAAAAGAAATTAAGAAATAAAATGAAAGCTCCTTTAAACCTTCGGTTAATGACTTCTGAATTCCATGCTGCATGTGTAGCACAGACAAGTCATTGTGTAGTTTCTTTGAGAGAACAAGTACAGAGCACCAGTGGAAGTTGTCATGTGGCCTGAGTTAGGGTCTGCCCATCTTTATTTCCCTGAGCTGTCCATAAGGATGGGAGAATCAGAGGCATGTATAAACAAAATAAAGGGTTGGGTAGTACTTAAAATTCAATGACAGAAATTCTCTTCAGGATATAAGAATTTCTTCTCTCTTACTCAAGAGGTATATGCTTCCTTCTAACAGTATACTGGAGAGAAGCTCTTCTATCCACCGTTGTGAGTGAGAAAGTTTTTTAATCCAGGTACAATTTCCAGGGAAATGGTTGCATACAAGTATCCAGAAGTTAGTTTATTGACTCTTATTGCATTTCGGAGTATCTAATAAATAATGGATTAGCCTGATGGATATGTGGCTACCTAACTATGGGGCATGAAATATGCACTGTTTCCCTAATACACTGTAGGGAGACCTGTTTATAAAGTATTTAGTATTGGTTTTATAATGCACTGTTGACAACAGGAGACCACGAAGCTCAAAGATCAATCTCATTTTGGCCCACAGTATTAATGCTGCTTTATAAAGCTGTATGACAGGTCACTTAGACAGTGGTCCTTACAGAAAGGACTCTGTTAGGAATGCTGGTTGTAGTGGCTGCCAGCCCAGCAGATAAATATCTTTGTCCATGTCCCTGAGATGATTCTTTGGTGACTGTGGAAACTGGCCAGGTGATGGAACTCATCATTTCCCTGGTCATTAAAGGGATTCTGGACTACAAGTTGAGCTAATGCAACTCTCACTAATTGGATGGAGAGTTGATATGACTTTGGGTCACAGAGACCTGGAGGGAGGACGTAGCAGTAAGGAGAGGACCTCCCAGCTTTGTCTCATGTTGGCTAATGAACCACTATTCTTAGACATCCCCCTCACTTCACTCAAGTCACATATGTGATATAGTTAAGTATTTCAATATGTTGCTTGCTTTGGGGAATTTCTTTAGCCAGGAGTAAATTTACACCAATTCTTAAAAATATGCTCTGTAAACACTTAGAATTGTGGTATGACTAAATAAAGATCAAATAATTTGATCTAAACTCTGTTCTAGGTATTTTATTTTTTTATATGAACTCATCATTATGGGAATGTATGTAATTGTTATGGTTTCCAAAGTTCTGTTTCCTACTGGCCTGTGTGTTTTGGAGCAAGGCATTGTTCTTTACGTTAGGAACCCCTTGCTTGTTTTAAGTATTCTAGTTTTCAAATTGAAATTCCCAACTCCTAACTACAATGTCTCTTTAAAATTTAAAATATAAGTCTTTTAAAAATTGTGTGTGTGCATCAAGAGATGCTCACTCATGGGGGGAGGGCCTAGGCCCTGCCCTGAATGAAATGGCAGACTCTGGAGATCCCTCCATGGAGGGCTTCACCATCCCTGGGGAGAGGTGTGGCAGTTGGGGGGGAGTTGGGGAGGTTGGTGGGGGGCGGGTAGGAGGTGAGAGAGAGGGAGCTGGGATTGACATGTGAAGCAAGTTTGTTTCTAACTTAAAATAAGATAAAAACCTGTGTGTGTGTGTGTGTGTGTGTGTTTGTGTGTGTATGTATGAATGCACACACATGCAGGTGCCTACAGAGGCCAAAACCAGGCATCAGCTCACTTGGAGCTGGAGTGACAGCAGTTGTGAGCCACCTCGTGTGGGTACTAGGATCTGAACTTGGAGCCCATGCAAGAACAACACTTTACCATTGAGCCACCTCTCTAGCCCAGCGCGTTGTTTTCAATTCAGTTGAGTGGACAGGCTCCTGACACCTTTCTTTCCTCTTGCCTTTCTTCTGCTCATTCCTTGTTGATGCTGACCTTTCTTTGAACCCTTTTCAAGTAGCCCTTTCCTTTTCTCTGCTCTAGGTGTCCTTTACTTAGTGCTCTTAGCTGAACTCTTGATATGTGGATTTCTGTTTTAAAAAAACATTAAACGCATTTGTTACTGTTTTAAGTAAAATATAATTACATCATCTCTCTCCATTCCTTTTCCTTCCTCCAACAACTTCCATGGCCTCCACCCTTGCTCCTTCTCAAGTTCCTGGCCTCATCTTCTTTAATTGTTACAATATGACAAGACCTAAACAAGGACAACATGAAAAAGTGGAAGAGGGAAATCTCATGGGGTCCCACCCCCAGACAGATAAACTACAGGCAACTAAGGGATGCTGAGAGAAGTTGCTTTCCCCCAACTTCCTGGTTTTTCCCCAGGAAGATGCCCCCTAATTGGCTATCCAATACCAAGTGGTCAGTCCTGACAACATGTACATGCAAGCAACACTGAATAGACTTAGCAGGTTGTATTGATATATTCACACACACACACACACACACACCAATCTCTGCATTTCTTTTGATTTGGGTTTTGGTGCTTCCAGACAGGGTTTCTCTATGTAGTCTAGGCTGTCCTGGAACTCACTCTATAGACCAGGCTGGCTTTGAACTAGAAGAGTTTCATGTACCTCTGCCTCCCGAGTGCTTGGATTAAAGGCTTGTGTCACCACTGCCCAGCTGATTCTTGCATTTCTTAGCCATGGAAGATTTTCTGTATCATTTCTTTGGTTTCTGAAGAGAGCTTTTTCTCCCTTTAGGGAGCCTTTTCATTTTATTACATTCTCTCTTAGGACCCTTTATATCATTTTCCCTCTGGCTTAGATCTTCAATATCCTTTTTTTCCCGGCTTTGTCCCCTTTGCTTGCTGTAGACTTCTTTTAACCTCCTGTAGTGGAAAACAAACTGTTTGTTCCTAAACACACTTCTCTAAACTCTGCTAACTTTGCAGGCCACAGTTCTCTTACTTTGTTTACTTTCAAAATTCCTTCAAAGAATATTTTACCGTTTCTGCCTCCTCATCTTTACAAATAACATATTTCTTAACTTCTTTATAATATGGATCATATATGCATATAATTGTACTAAAACAACTCATGACACAGAAATTCACAAATATTTAAAAAACAAAAAGTAAATAAAATATTTTACTAACAAATGTATATTGGGAATTGTAGGTTGAACATACATTTACTCAAAATAACAAATTGATGAGGAACACATCTGAAGTTTTCAGTCATTTAAATTTTATCACATACTACCAAGTCAATTATCTTGATGGATGGAGCATTGTTCTATTTCTACTTACTAGTAAATTTTTTTTATCATATTCTAAGTATAGTATTATTTAAGACTTCCAATCATCCTCTGCCTTCCTTTGTAATCCATAACAGAGGAAAATTTATTTTCTCATTCATAACAAGTCTCCCCAAAGATGCTCACCATGGTAATGTTCTTTCACCTTTAACATCATGTTTACATAGATGGATCTAAACCGGGTAACTCCAGTATTGATCTGCTTTCTGAACTTACTACTGCCTACTTATCTGCATGACCATATGTTACCCCAAACTGAGCTTGATTGTATTCCCCTAAATTATTCCATACATTTCTGCAGAAGTTGTTAGTGTCACATTGACTCTTGTGACCCATATCCTTTTAAAAAGATTTATTGTTATTTTAATTATGTGTATGTTATGTGTATGTGCCTGCTTCTTGAGGGAGGTGTTGTATGTGTGCATGTGAGTGCAGATGCCAGTGGAGGCTGGAAGATGGCATCAGATGCCCTGGAGTTGGAGTTACAGGCAGTTGTGAGCCATCCAACCTAGGAACTGACTTGGTTCCCTACAAGAACAGTGTATTCTCTTAATCACTGAGCATCTGTCCTGCCTCCTTGCTACCTGTACTCTTACCTCCTTAATTTCACCCTCAGAGTGTCTTTTGTGTTTTGCTTTTCTCCACCAGCCTTATTTGCTGGTAGTTATTTTAACTAGTTAATTATAACCATTCACTAATAGAGCTCTTTGCTTTGTTCTAGTCACATTTTAAGGTGTTGTCCTAGATGCACTTTCTTAAAGGATACTAATAATCATGGGGTGCTGCTGTTGAGGTCTTTTAATAGACTTGACTGGTAGTGAATATCAACTTAGTGTGGACTATGGGATTCTTACCAAGTTCCATTGCTTACATATCCTCTCATTCAGTACTGTTTTATGCTGTCTAAGCTCTAGGCAAACTGGATCACTTCTCTAGGGGAAGATTGCTAGTCTCTCTGTGCCCAGAACAAAGGCTGCCTTTGCTTGGAAGTTTTCTTTCCCCATATCGGTGGGAAGGCACCCTTTCCTAAATCACATGGTTCTACTGCTCTCTTATCACACTCTCTATATAAGGTCATTTTTCTGCATGGCTTCTATTCTGTACCAGATTCTAAGCTTCTCATGAGCAGAGATTAAGTCTGATTTTGGTGTTTTTCACAGCTTCTTGTACTTGGTGTGTGAGGCTTGATAAATAGTCCTTCAACAGTGAGTAGAAAGATCTACAATGATTTTCTTTATGATTAGTGGAAGAAAATGGAGTAAGTTGAGCTATTGGTTGGGGTGTAGCCTAGTGGAAGAATCTACGTTTGGCAGCCCAGTTTCAGACATCCTCACAACTCTTCATCCCCCCCCCCAAGAAAAAAGACTGAGTGGACTGGTGGTTAGTTTAATAGGAGAGTTTTTGCTTTAACACAAGAAACCCTGTGTTCAATCCCCCTGCCCTGTTACCCATCAGAAAATTACTGTTATCCCTGCCTCGTTGTTTATTCTCTCATGGTTCATGTATTTAACTGTTGGTTGCTGTAAACCTTAGTGATTGACTCTTTTTAAAAGTGTTGGCGTGGTCAGAGGAATATGTTACATTTGCAGTTTTGAAGATAAAGTGTCTTGATATAACCAGTTTCTGTATACTTCTGTCTGCAGAGTATATGTAATTTCTTTCCTCTTCCAATCTCTCAACAGGCACGATTTTTGCCCTCCCCACCTCCAAATTGCCTCAGTTACAAGTCAGAGGGCAGGCTTGGTGATCAAGACTGGCAAGCTCATTTCAAGGTCCCCTGCTGTGGGGTTGATCCATCCCAACTTGAGGTACATTTTTCCTTCCTGTCTAAGTCACTTGAATGTGCTCACGTGCTTTGACTCTCCCGTTGAGGCTCCTCCACATAATTAGTCTTTCTCCCACCCTTGTGCTGTCTCTCAGCTTCATACTAGTGAGTGAATGTATGTATTTGCTTCCCAACACTTCTTGCCTCTGAAGAAATTGTAAGAAGTAGAATTGGGTGGCAGTTATTTGAGTGATTTTGACTGTGATAAGCTGTCTTCTTTTGTTTCATCCTCTCTCTTCCCCTCCCTTTGCTTTTCTTTTCATCTTTTTTACACGTAGTTCTAGGGCTGATTTATTATCGTCATCTCTCTTTTTAGTGATAGACTTGGTACTAGTGGTCACCTTGGAGAATTGAAGTGTGTGTGTGTGTGTGTGTGTGTGTGTGTGTGTGTGTGTGTGTATGTGTGTGCTCGTACTTGCATGCTCACGTTGTACATGTACAGACTGGTGAGTTTTCACAAGGTGACCATAACCAGGACACCAGCTGGATGGGCAGATAACATGGTTGTGTTTTCAAAGCTTCCCGTGTGCTGGCTTCCAGCTGATGCCCTCCACCAGGGGCCCTCACCACCCAGATGCCCTTCACCAGGATCCCTCACCACCCAGATGCCCTCCACCAGGGGCCCTTACCACCCAGATGCCCTCAACCAGGGGCCCCCACCACCCAGATGCCCTCCACCAGGATCCCTCACCACCCAGATGCCCTCAACCAGGATCCCCCACCACCCAGATGCCCTCCACCAGGATCCCCCACCACCCAGATGCCCTCCACCAGGATCCCTCACCACCCAGATGCCCTCCACCAGGATCCCCCACCACCCAGATGCCCTCCACCAGGATCCCCCACCACCCAGATGCCCTCCACCAGGATCCCCCACCACCCAGATGCCCTCCACCAGGGGACCTCACCACCCAGATTCCTTCCACTTCCAGTTGTTCTTCCCATTTTAAATTGTTTAAATTTGAAAACCAATCTCCAAATTCATTCAAATTTTCCTTGCGTCAATGTTTTTCCATTTAAAGGTGTGTGTGTGCTTATGTGTGTTTGTGAGTTTATATATGCTTATGTGTCTGTGAGTGTATGTGTTTGTGTGTGAGTGTATATGTGTGTCCGAGTGCCTATTTAAAGTAGTCTTGGCATTTTGAAACTTCAGTCTTATATTTCACTATTTAAATTTAGTTTTTCGGTTTGAGAATTACATATATTGTATTTTTATTGTATCTTTTTTAATGTGTTAACTTTAAAGTGTTGTATTTTTTCAAATAATTGTGAGGTATTGAGCCCATCCTTGTAATGTGGTTTCTTGTGTGCCAGTGAATCTCAATCTTCCTTTCTGACAGTAATTTAAGCTATTATTATGACATTTTTACTGGAGCTGCCAGCATCTCGGTCTGCAGTTTTTAGAAGGAAGTAAATAAAAAAATTAATATTGTCTTTACAGTCCTGCAACATTCACGGTCATATGAAAGTGATTCCCCAGTGCACCTCTCTGCCCCAGCCTGGTTTTCCTCCTCATATTCATTTAAGGAAAGATACCACTGATTCTTTTAGAAGATTTTCTTTAAAACACAAATCAACTGTAGCTTATGGCAGAAAGAACGCTTTTGTCACTGCTTGTACCCACAAAGAGATTAAAGTCACTTTTCTGTTTTTAGATCAAAACAAGGTAGTAAATGTTTGATCTTTTGTAGAGATAAGGTTCATACTGACCAAAGATGCTTTTTTGAAACATGAATCTTGGTTCCAAGGGATTCAGCCATTCCTTAGCATTTTGTAAACTATTTTATTTACTATACTCTACCCAAATCTGTCCATTTTCATATTTTCATAGTATCAAAGGATTATAGCATTTGGGAACTTCCTTGAAGTGTGTTACGGAATTGAGCCCCTGATTAGGCTGTCAACACATGCTACATCTCTGTCACTGTTAGACAAGTGTCAACTGGAGCAGCTTCTCTCTTTTGGGTGAAGCTTTTAGGTAATATTTTCCTATGGGGAATGTTAAAGTCACTGATTAAAGTGTTTCAAGCTTTATGTTAGGGGGCTTGTGCTTCTTTTCTGGTCACATAAAGATATTTTTAATGTATAAGGGTTTCTCTGTCAGTGTTGGTCACCATTTTTCTTCTTTTTGCGGTACATGGCAGTTATTATCTCTGTCTTGTGCACTGATGTGGTTGGTTTTCCTGTGAGTTAACATCTGAGTATTTAGTATCCATAATGATCTGGCAGAAAACTAACTAAAAATGAAGGCATGTATGCGTATCTTACTTATAAATTGGACCATGACCTTGTTCCGTGAAATCTTCAGGCTGTTCAGACTGGAGCTGCTATATGTTGAAATGCCCAGCCCAGGTTGTCAAGGCCGCCTGGCAAAGGTATAGTTACAAATATGAAGTAACATGTACATTCTAACACAGGCTCTTGGAGGAGAGAGTTTCAGGAATTGAGACTCCCATAAAAGTGACAACATGATTTTGTTCTTCTCCTTTCCATAAAGATCCTTAAGTGAATTTTGAATTAGCGAATTCACGGACTCTAAACCTAAATTCTTACCTTAAGGTTTTAGTAGGAAAAGCAATAGGATAGTTGCTAATGTAGTTCAGATCACTTACACGTTTGGTTACATTCAGTTGTTGGCGTGCATGAATCATCGTTTTATTGTTATTGTTCTGTCTTTCTTTTTTATGTTTTTGAGACGGGATCTCACTATGTAGCTCCTGCATAGTCTGGAACCAGATCAAACTGGCCTCAAATTCACAGAGATCTTCCTGCCTCTGCCTCCCAAGTGTTGAGATTAAAGGTTTGAACTACTATGTCCGTCCTGCCCATGCTTCTTTTTAAACTGAATTAAAGACTGCTATATACATGTTTGGGTCAGTCACCTAACAAATTGATACAAGAAAGAGAATTGCTGAATAAGCTATTTTCCAAGGTCCCTTAAAATTTGAACATGCGGGTCCACTGCTCCCAGATCTTACTGCTTGAGAACACTTGACTGTTGAAACACAGTGTGTTACTAAGATAGTAATGGAAAGAAAGGAATTTGGAGCAAGCAAGGATGCAGGTGTAAATATTATGTGACCCTTAATTGTGAAGATGAGTACCTTTACATTAAAAAAGATGGTTCATAGAGGCAGGTAGATCTCTGTGAGTTGGAATTGAAGCCAGGCTGGAATATATCGTGAGTTCCAGGACAGCTATGTAGAAAGAACCTGTGTTAAAAATAAAACAATAAATAAAACAAAACAAATGAACCAAAAAAAAAAAACCCAATAGGATGGCTGTTCTTAAGAACTACTTAATAACTAGTTTAAAATCCCTGCCCCTTTCCCTTTAGCACAGCATGCACATATAACACAGTAGGTATTATTTCTTCTGTGTATGTGCTTGTGTTTTTATGTTTTGAGGGAGATGAATACTTTTATAAAATCACAGTTGCGACTTAAGGAAAAACAAACAACATAGATAACTATATGATTATAAAGCAAACACAAATATTTGAAATAAAAAAGTCAACATTACTACTAGTTTTACTTTTTTCTGTTCTTTTATAGTGAGTTGGAATTTTCCCTACTTTACTTCACATAGGAAATGGAACTTTGTACGATAAATCGGGTTTCACAGGGGGAAAGGCCGCTGTCAACTTTCTTCCCTGGGAATATGGAAATTTGGGTGGATTATCTGCTCAGAGGAGTTTTCCTTTATCAACTCTCTCTCCTTTTTTCCACTTAAGACATCTGTTAACATTTCACACAGACCAACAGATGTTGCAAAGCAAGTCCCACACTTTGTTCTCAAGAAAAATGACATTTCCTCAATTGCCTGCCCCACCTCTGTGACTGAGTCCAGCCTGCTGCTCCTGCATAATCTGCATATATTAAGTTATGCACCTTAATGCACCAGGAACTCAGACTTCAGCATTATTTTATATGTTGAAGTTGCATTTGATTAGTACCTAGTTTACATGTTGCTTAGAGTTCTGAGAGCAAAAACATTAAAGCTTCCTCTGAGAATGACAACCTGACTCTCTGCATTAAGATTGGATAGCCAGTTAGCATTTTTTTCTATAAAATAAATGAATTAGAAAAGGCTTGGGTTGTTTCGCCATGAGGAAGTGCTGATTGTCATGCGATGTGGAGCGTCACTTTTATTATTTTGGCAAGAACAGGGACAGTTTTGTCTTGACAAGCCATTAGATGAATACCAGCATGTGTCACATGAAAAACCACTGATCTTTAACCCCGCTCTGTACTTCACCAAGCTTTGGAAATGAATAGTGAATAAAAGAAGAGCAAAGGCCAGTCTACTGTCATTACAGATTACAGAGTCTGCTAACAGCTGCTGAACTGAAACCAGGGAATCACAGGTATTGCTCTGTAAGCCCATCAGAAGTCCTGGAGATGCTTCTTAAATTGTGTCCACAAACCATATATTTATTTTATATTTGCTCAGGATTTACATTGTTGAAGTCACAGCTAGGGAGGAACAGCCTTCAAGGGCTTTCTCAGTGTACTTTCTTGGAGCATGAGAGCCTAGCACAGGGCCATGTCCTTTCTGTGGTTCTGTGTTTTGAGCCACAGAGTGACTTTAAGAAAGCAGTGAGTTTTAAAAAAACGAAATAATAAGAAGAAAAGTTAAGCTGGGCATTGGAGCACACCTTTAATCCTAGTACTGAGAAAGCAGAGGCTGGTGGATCTCTTGAAGTCAAGCCTGGTCCTAGTCTACATAGTGAGTTCCAGGTCAGCCAAGGTTATATAGTGAGACATTATCTTAAAATATACATACATACATACATACATACATACATACTGATTATTTGTCCTTTAAAACACACACACACACATACATACACACACACACACACACACACACACACACACACACGTCTATTCCAAAAGTGCTTTGACATGGTCCTTCAGTAATTGTGGCTAACATTCACATCAACATGTAGTTTTTAAGGAAATAAAAGGAAAGACCCAAATTTACCTCACTGCCCAAATATTGAAAAGATAGTAATATTTTAAGCAGCCACTTGTGGGATTTATTCCTTACAGAACTAACAGGAAAGAGCACAGTGTCTTAATCTGTTGGTAGAATTGCATTGTGCCTCCCTGTAGTCTTGTTATTCCACACTAACTGAAATGCAAATTTTTTGTTAACTAATTGGATCTCATTGAGGGTACATGCACAGTGTGTAGCTGTGTGCAAAAAGGTTTTCAAAAGTTAGAATTTCCTGTAATTACAACTTTTAATTACTATCCAAATTATTGGCATATAGTACAGGTTTAGAATATATGCCTGACTTTTTAAACTATTACTTAGAAACATGACTTATGGAAGGTTTGAAAAGGTACAAGCTAAAACTTCTAGGGACAAACATTTATTTGTAGCATATACAAACTGAATTTTACTTAAATTTTTCAAAATTAAGGTTTAAGGTTTAAAATCTGGAAGCCAGTTCACTGTATCAAAGACATATTAATCGTGTAGTGTTTTTCCTTCAGATATTATGAATGTTAAAGTGTCATCAGTCAGTGCTGTTTCCCCTAGCCTTGTTTGGTCTCCTGCTTGTATGTTACCACTGTGAAATGTACTTTTAAGAGTCTTTTGTGTTTGTGTATTGTGGCTGTGTGTTGTTAAGAGGGGGGGCTAGTCCTACAGAGTCTTCAGGGCCTTGAGGACTAGTTGGTGTGCTTCCTAGTTTACACAGCCCATCTCTCTCTCCCTGTCAGAAATGGGAGCAGAGTCATGTGACCTTTCACACTTGTGATCCCATAACCTGAGGTATATGACTTAGAAACAGGGAAAAAGAAAGCAGCTCTTGTGAAAATGGTGTTTATCCCAATTGCCTAGTTGTAAAAAACTTGGATACAAATTATTCCAGAGAGTTATTCTGGAACCTACAGTATAGAGCCAATGGGAAAATCTTAGAAGTTATCTTAGGGTCTTGGTTTAGTTGTTTGTTTGGGACCTGTGTCTTTAAAATGATTCAAGTCTCCAACTGGCTAGAAGACTATCCTGAGGTCAAGGATTCTACACTTTCCCAATGGAAATGAATGGCAAATTCCCATAACACATTCTGGGAATTTCTAGAGGGGTCAGGTTTTTGTTTTCTAAAAATTTATTAAAAGAATGATAGAAATTTAAGATTTACAAAGCATAACAAGAGTTCTAGGTTTGTGCTTTATTTTAACACATTTATCTGTGGTTAACTCCTTGGGTTCTCTTCTGTTATTGTAACAGAACTTTCACTCTTTTTAAACTGGTCTTAGGAACTAGTTAAGATTGTTTGACTAGCAGGTACAGTACTGTGCAGTCGTTTCCTTCTCAGTCTTACAAGGGTACCCTGGTGTTTTAAGGCATGGCTGTGTAGGAATACTAGGTCATAGTCATGCTGCAGACTTGTTCCGTTTAGACTTGTAGTCTGCATAGTCTGGGTAGCGTTTTGTCAGAGGACTGCTGGCTGGGCAGAGCGGATTTGGATGTATTAGCTAGTCAGCCTAATAACCCTGTACAGACTGTATTGATTTTCTAGGAGAGAGTTTATGAACTAAATAAACTTGGGGTTGGTGTCTTAATAAACTGCTCCTCTCAGTCTGTCACATTTAGTTATGGAGCTGTGCAGTTTAGGGGGAAAAAAGGCTAATTCTGTTACAGATTGTTCACAGCAGGGTCTCCAAATTAGCCCTTTGTTTTGTAATGCCACCTTGCTTGGGCTCGAGTTGAGCACATTTCTCAGTTTTGCCCTAATGAGTTGCAACACTGATAATGTGGCTGATGATCTTTCATTGATTTCACTATCACTTGCTTGTCTGGTAATTGATCCGTTGCTGAGCCTCTAGTTAATTATATCGGCTTTGACATGGCCCGGTCCATGGGGAATTTCAAGTCTTGCAGAATAACAGTTTTAATAAAAGAGTCTATTACTGCAGGTGCTTGCTGCTGCATGCCAGTTGATTTTTGTGTTGTTAGTGTGTGTGTGTGTGTGTGTGTGTGTGTGTGTGTGCGCGCGCACGTGCACGAGCGTGGTGGTGGTGGTGGTGGTGGTGGTGGGGGATACCTGGGAAAGAAGATGATCTCAGAACTGAGTGAGAAGGGGTGGGGGCTGGAAAAATAGAGGGAGTAAGGAGAGAGAGGAAGGAGGGGGAAGGACTAAGAGAAAGGGAGAGCGGGAGAGGCGAGACATGCAGGCAGAGCGATACAACAGTGCTTGAGTGGAACGAGGAGGAAGCTTGCTATTGACAGTGTCCTTAAGCCTCCCACAAATAACAGCCATTAGTGGGAAGGTCAGGAGCTGAGCAGGCAGCTTGACTGAGGCACTGAGTGCCACTTCAGAAATCAAGAGGCTAGCAAATTTTAGAGGGAGTTAAGTGGGTAATAGCAGTAAAGGTACAGTCACCGTTGACAATTGACTCATAGGGGCTTTTCCCGCCCTCCCCTGCAAAAGAATATTTTTATTGACCACAGGTGGACTTAATATATTTTAAGGCAACAATTCTTTGGGTTCTTGTTTGTTTCCTTTCAGATATTGAATTTGCTTCTTTTGAGACTTTTTTGTGCTTAATGGTGGTGAACTGGAGGGAAGTTTAACAGAAAAGCTTTCAGGAGATGTCAGTTCTAGAAGGGAAGGCACATTTGTGTCAACATAGTGTACGTTTTCTCATCTTTTCTCATTGTCCACTAATGACACAGGGCTGCCATTGAAGCGCTTTTCTGTTTCTTTTGTTGTTTCTGAGAGGAAGGTTTATTGTTATTCTTTAGTTAAGAAGGAGCAAGCAGAGTGGTACATTTGTCCTCAGTATTTGTAAGTGGCTGAAGATTAATGTTCCTTACATTTTAAGTTTAGGAAGGATGGCTTTTTCCTGCTGACTACTTTTATGAGATGGCATGAATTTAGCTTTCCATTTTGAAATTACAATGTTTATGCACAGTGGATTTTGTTCAGTTCTGTTTTTCTATAAATAAGGTAGATAAATATTACTTAATAAATAGATGTTTTATTTTAAAACTGGTTTAATTAAAAATACGACCCACTACCAAGGTTATATTTCACCAGAAAGGGATACAGGATTTTCCACACAGATCCTGAGTGAAAAATGGTGTTTTTATATGCATTACTTTTTGCCTGAAATAGGACAAGGTTTTTTTTCTTCATATTTTTGCCTTTTTTATGATTTAAAAAGGATATTGTAGCTGCTTTATCTGAGTACTTTAACAAAGGATTTATTCTGCTGTTAGCTTTAAGAAAAGGTATTCATTTTTCTCCTTTGCATTCAGCCTCTCCTTACTTAACCTTCAGTTTCATAGTTAATGGCCTGAGGTGCTAGATATTAACTGATATGTGTTTATTTTTGCATATGTCTACTGTTCATCTTCCATGTTTAACTGGTAGGTTTACTTGTTCACGCTTTAGAATATAAGGTCAAATCTCTATACATTATTTTTCTCTATGCATGCGTATAAATAGCTCAGGGTGTACTGTGTGACTTGTGGCAGCTAACATTTAGACAACAACTGGGCAAACTTTATGTTCTCCAGATGACTACTTGCTTCCAGTGTAATTAAAAATATTTAAGTCTCACAGTTTTACAAGTGTTAAAGCAAAGACTGGTGCTGGATATAACATGTTCTAGCAGAGAGCATTGTTGGGAAAAAATTGCCAGGGAAGGGCCCTGGCTTTCCCTGGCCTTGCGGATAGTGACGGTGGCATAGCTTGGAGTGTGCACGAGTGTGTGTGTCTGGAGAGATGTTAGTGCAGGGTGTCATTTGTTGCCTGACAGTGGAACGGGGCAGTTGACTCCTAGCTCTGCTATCCAATGACATGCAGTGGCTGAGGGTTTGAAGCTGATGGTTGGGTCTCCAGTGCTGCCTGCACACCTGACAGGCAGCTGTTAAACCGAGCAGAGGCAAGCTCGGGGGAGTCACAATCTATGCATAAATGATGGGGATATCTGTGCAGAAGGTGCGAAGGAAGCTCTGACCCCCCTCCCTCCCCCAGATCTCCCCCTTCCCAAATGAAATGCACAGTTCAGCCAGCTTCTTAACTACACTATACTCCTTCTACTGGCTGCCAAGAAGCTCAAAAAAATCCACCTTCACTTTTCAGTCAGAAGAGGCAGAAGTGGATGTGAGAGAAAGAGACACACACAGAGACAGAGAGCCAAAGAGGGCAAGAGACTTGACTGTAAGAGACTCCTGTACTGACAACTCCATGCAGTTCGGAACCAGAACGACTCCGGCTGAACCAGGGTTCATGGGGACATGGCAGAACGCTGATACTAATCTCCTGTTCAGAATGTCCCAACAGGTAAGTTACTTTCAATTTTTTTTTTAAAGAAAGAAACCTCGAGTGGTTATGTGCCCTTTTCTCCCTACTATTGTTTCTAAATGTTTTTGAAATTTAAAAAAATACATATTTTCATAACTGTTTTACTGGAATGTGCAGTGTTACTTCATGGCTTCCCCAAGGGCTCCTTCAGGAAAGGGGGGAAAGGACATTGAAGTTAGAGAAAGCAAAGGCAGTTGTTGCAAAGTTTCACAGTGTGCAGGCTAGGTCCTGCGAATCCTAAATTTTTTTCTTTGTTTCCCGTTAAAAAGATAAAAAGCCACTACTCAACAAATGTATCTTTCTGACTGTGTGAAAGACTTGGTCAAAGTGTCTGCCATCTCCAAGTAGGTCTTGTGGCCGAACAATCCTAAAACGCGGGCTCCTCACAGCAGCGGGTGTGACTTCTGGTGTCTGGAGCAGCTGGCCTCAGACCCGAGCTAGGCTGTGCAGGCTTCCCTGATGGTCGGTCGGTGGCCGGGTCAGCCCGAGGGGCAGCAGGCTGTGCTCCTGCTGGCTCCTTCGCTCTCTTGCTCGCTCGCGGCCTCCGTTCCAGCTCTCGGTGGCTGCACTCTGCCCGCGCTCCCCTGGCCGTACGCGCAGCAGCCCGCACGGCTCGCCGCCCGCCCGCCCCAGCAGCCCGCCGCGGTGCACTCACACTCGGCGCGGCCCCTGCGTCCTCCCCAAGCGGCTCCTGCTCCTCGCTTGGCCGCTGGCCGCAGTCGGTTGCTGCCCTGCCGGGAGAGCCTCCGGGAGAGCGCCAGGCTAGCGGACGGATAATTAATCACCGCGGCCGCCCGTACCAAGCAAGCGCTCGCTCGGTGATTCGCGCCCAGCGTGCCGGACTCCTCTTGCACAATTGCTGGCTCTGCGGCTCCGCGGGGGAGCGAGGGTAAGAGGAAGCGAAGGGGAAACAACCCAGAAACTTTCCTCTTGGACTGTGCTCAAGTGAGGGAGGGAAGTTCCCTGGTGCCTCCCTCCTAGACACGTCTTGCTTTTCAGAAGCCTACACCAAACCCATACAAAGCAAGAGTTAGTTTATCATCCACGCAGCACCAAAGTAGTACTGACAAATACACTGGGATGTTAAATAGATGGCGGCTGTTTAAAGATCGCCTATTGCCCTACTCGCTTAAAAAATACTGCAACTGCTTTTAATGGAGCTCCTTTGTATGTAAGAGTTCGCGGAAATTGAATACTTCGAGGTAGATTTTTAAATGTTTGGTAATGAAGTAAAGAAAACCATTTGTAAGGCTGTAAACTGTCACAAGTTTAGAAATAACATTTGCCAAAAGACAGAGCATAGCGGGGCTCTGGTAACGTTTAATGGGGAAACTGTTTTATCAACCAGTTTTAGATAGGAGAATTGTATTTGAGTAAGGTGTATTTTGACATCCTGTAGAGGGACCCTGATAACTGCTGATACAGTAAGCTGAGATTTGAATGCAATCAACATAAACCCAGTAAGCCCCTCTTCATGTACAGTCCCATTCCTTTGCATGAAAAGTTGGTTCCTTGTCTAACAGAGATGCTCCTTGTCATTGCTGAGTGCTTTGCTTGACGAGGTGTTTTTCTGAAGCACTTCTCTGTCTGGGTCGCTCTTGTGTTTTCATTAACCTTAGAACCTAATAACTTGTTCCCCGTTCTTAAATTTAGATATCACCATCAGGGTTTTCCTTGAGTTAGTGGAGTGTGTATGCACATGCATATTTTGAAAGGTTAGATTGCTTTAGATTTTCCCCTCAGTGAAAGAAGAGTTAAAACAGAGATAATGATCAATTGATAAATGGCTATTGAACCACATAGATGGTGTTAGATTGCTTCTTTGGCACTAGCCCATTTCCAAGTAAATTTGCATCCAAGGAGACTTTACGTGATGAAAAACATTTAAGATTAAAAAATAAAAGCAAATTACATGAAAATAGTTTAAATTTCTCATAGAGGGGCTTGTTTGAGCAGCCTACCATGATGTTTTCTGTGCAGCTGTTAGTGGGGGATACAAAGATCTGTTTTGTGTGAACCTGTATGAATGTATGTGTATAGTTAACATCAGTAACTGTGTGAGGGGAATAAATATATAGGGAAGACATTTTTGCTTAATGTTGCCTATAAATAGAATCTTACAACAAAGGAAGAAAACCAAAATTTTAAAAAGTATTGTGATTACCAATTTTATTGTAGTTTTTATTAATTTTTGTTGTTGTTTTAATGTAGTTCGTGATACATAGCCTTCCATTTATTTCCATGGTTACTAAATATTACCTTGTCTGTATTTTGGAATTCATATAACAGGGGATATGAATTTACATGTGTGTTTGTGCTTTTCTTTCTCTTTTAAGATTGTGTAAGCTTAAATTCAAACTCTGTGTAAATATGAAAGTCTGTGCTGTGCATGTTTAATGTGTTTATTTTCCTTATGCTAGTTCATCAGTGCTGGTTCAGTGTGTGTGTGTGTGTGTGTGTGTGTGTGTGTGTGTGTGTGTGTGTCAGACTTCCTGAAATGCTATCTCTTAAAGCCAACAGTTTTGAGACATAATAGTTTCAATACCCACATTATGCCAGTTTTTGCTAAAGATAAAAGTTTTTCCAATTTAATCAGGTATACAGAATTCTGTGTATCTAATTTTTAGGACAAAAAGGGTCTTTTAGATGATTAATTCCTAACTAAAAATTTAACTCAGGAAATGAATAAAATCTATTAGATACAGTTTTTCACATTCTATATTAGCATAAAACTAATATTTTGTTGACTAATTTGTTAAGCATTGGACAAGTAGAGCCAGGGTAAGATGTGTCAAGACCAAGCTGTAGAGAGATAACCATGTATGGTGTTTAGCTACAGAAAATGTATGCTTGGGGATGTCTGATGAACACTGAAGTTTAATGATCTAGGTCTGGGTCTTCTAAAGGTAAGCTAGGAAGGTGGGCTGGGATAGTCTTTACCTTGTGTCTCACCTGAATGAACTTAGATGTCCTTACATGTAAATCCCACCTTCTATCTAATATTGACAAATGATTTAATGGTGTGAAGACTAGGTAGAATTAAATATGTTCACCTTAAGGCTTTAGATATGGCTTCTTGACTTCATTCCCCTATCTTATATTATTTTTCTCTGACATTGAAGTATAATTTTTTTTAGAAAAAGAAGGTTTTCTTGTAGACAGATATTTGAGGACCTTGAAAGGTGTTAACTGTTGACTTTGTAACTGAGAGTTCTGGATTCAGTTTGATCAGTCACAAATCAATAATGCCCAAAACCATTTCCTGTTTTTCCTTATCTCCTATAGCCCCAAACCTTATTTTGCTCAGTATAGATTGATAAGATATTGTTGAAAAGAAAAGGGGTGGGTGGTGGAAGTGGAGAAAGGAGCTTGTTTGGGAATTTTTTTCTTAAAATCAGGTTTTAAAAGGTGATTTTTCTACATATATTTATACTTACTTGTATATTTGAGAAAATAGCAAATAAAAGCTCCTAAGAAAAGCTATGATCTATTTGAAATCTTTTTAAGAAATGACACTGTGCAGGTAAATGGTGATAGTGCACTTTTCATGTATTAGCAGAGGTGTTTATGCCTTATATTATTGTGGAGGTATACTTAACCTGTTTCAAATAAAAATATAGTAAGGCCTCTTCAGAGCAGAGTGAAATACTAAGTTAGAATTATAAATGACTCTGTGCATCATTATGTAGTAATTTAGGATTCACCCAATGATGTAACAAAATTAACAACATAATTTCATTGTGAAACTGTGTCTTATTAAAGAACAACTGTCTGACATTCTCTTACAGTTGCTTTATTTAACTTCATGCAAATATTATTAGTAGTGACATTTTTCTATTGTGCATTAGATTCTCTCATTAGCATGATGTGTTAGTTATCACCAGAGAAATCATCTCCTAGATAGGTGAGGGACAAAATCGAGGAAGCTAAAAATTAAATCAGTGATTTACATTAATACCAGACCATCTGCTCACCAGAGATAGGGCAAAGTAAACTTTTTGACTAGTATAAAACCCAACACTTTTCTGAGAAATTATTTAAAGCTATATAATAAATATATAACAACATTCTCGGAACCCCTTTATAAGAGGGCTCTATATGAATTTTTCTTCTAGGAGTCTTTTACTACTTTCAACTCATCAAGACAAACACAATGTCAGTCGTAGGATTTGTGTTTAAAATGAAAATGATGTATTTTTCCTGTCTTCTTAACCCTCCAAAAATGATTTGAACATTTATTCACTAACAATTTTAAAGATTCATATATAGTATTTCTTTTAGGTCAGATGTCTAAATTATGTGTTGTGGCTTGGCTCTTCTTTATAGTTCATGTAATATATTTTTATTCTAAAGTTTATCCCTCAAAAAATTGACATCCTTTTTCACATAGGATGAAAAGTCTTATTTAGTCAGTGCCTGAGTATAGCAGTTGAGTTATGGTCTTTGAAAATGACTTTCATTGCCAGGAGCATCCATCCCCAGGTTTCTTCTCTGTTTTCTATTTCTTCCTTTTTAACTTTCCCTTCTAGTAGTTGGTGTATTTGGGTAATCATATCCTACTTAAAAGGAACTAAATTACAAAACTTAACCCTTATGCTAGCATAAGTGTTTATATTTGATGGCAAATAGTTTTAGCTTGTTGAATTGGCATGCTGCTAGGTCTGTTTTGGTTCCTCCTCTGATTTGAAGTGTGTGCTTTATTTTGAAATGTTCATAATAGGTACATATTGAAATGTGACCCTTAACATTCATTTTAATATTGTAGCTTACAGGTAGGAATATTTGGATAATTGTTGCAGTAGTATTGAACTGGAAATTGTAGCAAAGATGTAAGCACCTATGTTTCAGCCTTTACTTCCAAGTTTTGTTAGCATGTGAATTTCACTTAACAGGAGATGTGTACTGTGTAATGAAAGGGGAATGTAGGAGATTGTGTGCATATGATGTTTCATGTATGTGTTACTGTAAGAAAGCATTCA